ACCAGGGTTAGGAGGCTGAGTTGCTGAAAGTAAAGGGTTGGGAGCTGAGGGCATCTGGCGATGATTGCTCTACCTGTGGACGCAGCTCCAGGCAAGAATATTGGTGCGGGTTGCCATTTCCTTCTCCAGGGGATCTTCCCAACCCAGAGACCAAATCCACATCTTCCGCATTGCAGGCAGATTCTTTACCATCTGAGCCACCAGGGAAGCCCCTGTGCCATTTCCTAGTTACTAAGCACTGCTCTGGAGTTTACTGACTCGTTTGGATAATTATGCGTCAAAGACTGGTTCTGTCCTGGGCTGTGTGCCAGGCTTTGGGGATAAAGTCTTGACTTCAGGGAGCTTATGGTCTAGAGGTGGGGACAATCATTCAATAAATAAGCACATGATTACAAACTGGGGCAAGGGCTCTGAAAGGATAGTTCAGAGTGCTCTGAAAGAGGGTAATGGGAAACCTAATTTATATTGGAGAATCTAGGCAGGCCTTTCTGTGTGTGTGTGTATGTGTTTTAGTCGCTCAGTCATGTCTGACTCTTTCTGACCCCGTGGACTGTAGCCTGTCAGGCTCCTCTGTACATGGATTTCTCCAGGCAAGAATACTGGAGTGGGTTGCTATTCCCTTCTCCAGGGGGTCTTCTCGACCCAGGGATCGAATTCATATCTGCCGCATTGCAGGCAGGTTCTTTATCTTCTGAGCCACTAGGGAAGCCTGGCCTTTCTGTGAAGTGACATTAAATCTCAGACCTAAACTGCAGAAAGTGGCCAGTGTTATCAGAGTGTAGTAAGTGAGACAGAGACAGCAAAGACAGGGCTTCCCTGGTGACTCAGTGGTAAAGAATCCACCTGTCAATGCAGGAGACAGGGGTTCGATCTCTGGGTCAGGAAGATCCTCTGGAGAAGGAAATGGCAACCCTCTCCAGTATTCTTGCCTGGGAAATCCCACAGACAGAGGAGCCTTGTGGGCTACAGTCCATGGGATTTCTAAAGAGTCAGACACAACTTCAGTTCAGTCCAGTTCAGTCACTCAGTCGTGACCGACTCTTTGCGACCCCATGAATCGCAGCAAGCCAGGCCTCCCTGTCCATCACCAACTCCAGGAGTTTACTCAAACTCGTGCCCAGCGAGTCAATGATGCCATCCAGCCATCTCATCCTCTGTTGTCCCCTTCTCCTCCTGCCCCCAATCCCTCCCAGCATCAGGATCTTTTCCAACGAGTCAACACTTCTCATGAGGTGGCCAAAGTATTGGAGTTTCAGCTTCAGCATCAGTCCTTCCAATGAACACCCAGGACTGATCTCCTTTAGGATGGACTGGCTGGATCTCCTTGCAGTCCAAGGGACTCTCAAGAGTCTTCTCCAACACCACAGTTCAAAAGCATCAATTCTTCAGCGCTCAGCTTTCTTCATAGTCCAACTCTCACATCCATACATGACCACTGGAAAAACTATAGCCTTGACCAGATGGACCTTTGTTGGCAAAGTAATGTCTCTGCTTTTTAATATGCTATATAGGTTGGTCATAACTTTCCTTCCAAGGAATAAGCGTCTTTTAATTTCATGGCTGCAATTGGAGCTAACAAACAAAAGTGAGACAGACCGTATAGTTGGCCTGTGTTTTTATTAGACGCCATAATACTGTTGTTATCTCCTGTTACACCAGCTCCTGTTATAGAGGGCTGCCAGAGAGTGTACGGTGGCTGCTATAACTCTGGTTCTCTCTACTCCTTCCATAAGCCAGAGTTTGGGAGCACATATAGGAGTCTAGTAAGTAAACACTGCTGCTCTTTTACATAAAGTACATCATCTATCGTGGGACAGGTATCATCACCAGCCATTAAGTGCTAGAGTGCACCTTGTCTATTTTACTATAAATACCATGGTATTGGTACTTGTATGATTAAATATAGGGCTTCCCTGGTAGCTCAACTGGTAAAGAATCCACCTGCAATGCAGCAGATCCTGATTCGATCCCTGGGTTGGGAAGATCCCCTGGAGAAGGGAAGAGCTACCCACTCCAGTATTCTGGCCTAGAGAATTCCGCGGACTGTATAGTCCATGGGGTCACAAAGAATCAGACAGCTTTGCATGGTCAAAGCTGGGAAATCTGATTCCTCTTTCTAGATTTGATTACATGGTTCTTTAGCATAGGAGAAGAAAAAGAGAAGGAAAAAGAGGAGGAGGGGTAGGGGGAGAAAAGGCACTTGGAGGGCATGGAGTAGATTTTTACTATTTGCAAGCACAGAGAGCTTCACAAAGATCCTTCTTCACAGAGTTGCTGCTAGCATTAAATGAGACAAGTGTGTGAGCGCCTGACATGGCACTGGTGAGCAAGCAGAATCCTTGGGTTGGCATTTTCCAGGTGTTTTATAGCCCCTAACACCCCTGGGGACAGGTGGTGAGGCAGGTGAGGGCCGGTGGGGAAAGGGGTTTCTTTGGGAAACACTGAACACTTTATTCCCCTCTTGGGATTTCTGTTTACTGGCGTATTCAAAATGGAAAAATCTTAGTGTAGAAGAGAGTGTTTAACTTTGCCTAACTGTATGTTTCCCTAAATTTACTTGAACTCTGAATCCACTCTTCCTCTACAATGCCTGGGCAAGAACCACCAAACCATGGGACGCTGTGCTGCGGCCGGTAGGGTAGCTCTGTGAGGGGCTGGCCTACAGAACCTCTAAGGGACCTTGAAGCTCTCCATTTGTAGACTTGATTATTATTTTTCACATCCTCCAAATATTTAATGGTGAATTTTCATGACTGATAGGTTTTTTTGTTGCTACTCAGAGCTGTTTTAGCAAGAGGATTAATGCCTGTGGTTAGAGATTTTCTTCAGCTCTTGTAATGAGAATCACATACTCTCGCTGGGAGAAGGCTGGGCTTTTAAACTTCAGTACAGCACCATTTCTGAGGGGTGGAATTCTTTTATCCTGAAAGCCCCAAATCACAAAACTTGGACAGCTTGGGGACATACAGGAAGCAGTTACCTCCCCAGCACCACCCGCACTGGCCATCTGAAGCCCAGAAAGAGGAGGCATTTTGGCCAAGGTCAAAGACCTCTTTCCAACTGGTCATCCCCGGACAGCAGATGATGATATAAATAAGCATGTGGACTGGACAGCACTGACCTCTTCTAACCATGGCTGCTCTTGTAATTAAACAGAAATGTTAACATCAATCAAATGGTCCTTCCACTACCATTATCGCCAACATTGCATTCTGTCCAGGAAAGGTGGAAAGGCACTGCTCCCAGGCCTGCAGCAGCCATAAAAACCTGCCAGTGCTAATGAACCATCACTTGAGCCAATTAAGTGGAAGCAAAACTGTCTTTAATTAAGGCATCATGCATCCCATGGGTTCTCCCTAACTCACACCCAGGGGTACTAGGAAGCCTCTGTGGACCCAACTGCCACACTCTGGGAAAGCATTAAACCAGCTCTGTTTCAAAAGGACCTGATGGGATGTCAGGAAATATGGGTTCTGGTCTGAGTTCTGCCACTGACCTGGGGCAAGTCCCATTTGATCTCTGAATCTCAGTGCCTTCATCAGGAAAGTCATTTCTCTTTTTTTTTTCTTGTATCCACCAAACTCTTTTTGAGCATCTATCACGTGCTGATCCCTGATGATAGGCACTGGGGAACACAAGGACCATTAAGGCTCAGTGTTTTCCCTCTGGTGGTTTTAGGACCGTGGGGTCCTTGCAATGGGGTAAGACACATTCAATAGCCAAGCCTGTGGGAGCTCAGAGAAGGGAATGGCCAATTCTCTTTGGGGGATTGGGGGATGTTTTTCAGAAGAAGAGGTACAAGCTGATTTGTAAGGAAGGATTAGTGAGATGAGGGGTCTTCCCTGGTAGTTCAAAGAGTAAAGAATCTGCCTGCAGTGCAGGAGATCTGAGTTTGATCCCTGAGTTGGGAAGATCTCCTGGAGAAGGGAATGGCTATCCACTCCAGTAGTCTTACCTGGAGAATTCCATGAACAGAGAAGCCTGGTGGGCTACTGTCCATGGGGTCACAAAGAGTCAGATACCGCTGAGCAACTAACACAAAAACACACAAAGTGAGATGAGGAAGGGACTAGGAAGCCCTGGACAGAGGGCCTTTATGAAGGTGAGGTATCAGGCCCCAACAGGAACTGTGTAAGGAACCAGTCCTTCCTTAGAGTGGCCAGAGCAATGATTCTAAGACTAGAGGGTGGGGGGTGAGGCAACAGGTCACACAGTCTTGCATCAAAGCCGGGGAGTTTGAATATTACCTTGGGAATCCTAGGACCAATCAGCTCTCAAGCTGTATAATTTGGGCAGTGAAGTTAGTCAATGATTTACTGGTTGTATGACTTTGGGCCAGTGTGTTGCCTCAAAGGTGAAATAAGGCTAATAACACACTCTTTCTCAGAGGATTCAATGTTCTCTCAGCAGATGGTTCCCTGGGCAGTGGAATTTTCGGCTGTAAATTATGGGGCTAAGCCAGGAGAAAGAGTTCAAGAGTGAGTGTGGGGCCAGCCAGTATGCTCACACCAAAGAGAAATGCTGCCCACGTGATGCAGGCTGCCGCTCTCCTTCATTAATAATCTCCAAGAAGAAATCCAGAAACAAAATGGTAACTGTCATCACCACCATATGCTCAAAAGCACATTCATCGATACTGTTTCTTTGTGAGCACTGATGCTCACAAGTGCCCTGCCAGGGAAGTAATTATTATCTTAATTATGCAAGAGAAACTGCAATGCATCAGAGAGGGAAAGTGAACTCCCCAAGGTTACACAGGAAGTAGGCACCAAAACTGATACTAGGTCTCCTGGTTCCTGATCCAGCAAACTGCCCAGGAAACTCCAGCAAATGATCTCACATGACTGTGCATGAGCTAGTCAAGATCAGCTCATCACATCCTCAGGAGCTGGGGTGAAACTTCTGATGAACTCATGGGTGAAGAAAATTCCTCCTCAAAAACAGGCCCCTTTTCTTCTTGCTTTCATACCCCTACCCAAGCATTCTCCCCCTTCCCTCACCTGTAATTGCCCAGGTAGACACCATCAGGATTGAGCATGGGTGCAATCTTGAAGACCAGATGTTCCCGTAGGACACGAGCAATAGGGTGCTGGCTTATGAGGAAGTCAATGATCCCTGCGAAAAAGAGAAGCATCTGGGTTAGTGTCAACATGTTTTAGGAAGGAGGGAGCACCTTTCCTCAGCTGGGAAAAACAATGAGAGATCAATAGGTGATTTGGGGGCCTATGCTGTTAGCCACTGTGGGTAAATGGCTATGAATTAGGTGTTGCCCAGTGAATTTTACAAATAATATCTCTGTTTCCAGGAGACAGCTCAAGACGTAATATTGAAGGTCAAGGCCTGGAGGACAGCGTGTCCTGCTCAAGAGCACAGGAAGGGCCTCCAGGAAAAGACAGCATGTGAGCTATTCCTTGGAGTCTCGACAGACAGAGATAGGGGAGAGGCAGGATAACTCTGAACAATAAAAGCAGAGTTGCTCCCTAATGTGTCCACTGCTAGCTAAAGGCTGACATTAGTTTGGATGATTGTGGGGCCGAGGACCTTAAGAGGTCTCAGTTCTCATGAAGCTGAAGGGTACACCAGGAAACAGAGAGAAGTCACAAAAAGACAGGGAGGTTTTGTCAATAACTCTGCTCCTTTCCCCACTTAAAGGGTCCTCTGCTTCCAGACTCCAGGGCTGGCTGCCTTCTCTGTTTCTCACTAGGACAAACACCACCTTGCCTCCCAGTCACCAGATTTAGGACTGTCTCCTCCATGACTCTCCTCCTATAGTTAGGCAGTCCCCAAGTCTCTTCTTTGAAACTAGCAAATCTGCCCCTCATCTTTATCCCCCTACCTCTCTTCTAGGCCACCATCACATCTGGCCTGGATGAGAGCAACCAGAGCTGGCCTAGGTGACAGCGACCACCTCTGGAAGGTGCTCTTATCACTACAGCCAGAGGGATTGTCCTGAAGTGCAAACCTGACCCTGTCACCACCTTTGTTGATGTCGTGGCCATGGCCTGCACACATCTATAGGGGAGGAGGTAAGAAAACAAGAACTGAGTCTTTGCCCTGATCCTCTTGTTCTCCATGTTTCTACTTATTCCTCGGAGACCTGAAAAAAAAAGACAAAATGGAACTCTGGCATTCCATGAGACACCTGCCATGCTGGAAAGTGGCAAGAGAGCACACAACCCTTCCAAAAGCACAGAAGGAGAACAGAGAGAGCCCTTCCCCTGCTGGAGAGAGCAGAAAATGTATCAAGGAGAAAGAAGCTTTGAGCTGGGCCCTGACAGATATGTAGGTTTTGACAGCCAGACAGGAGGAAGCAGCGGGGTAACTAAGAACAATTCATGTGCCCAGTGGCAGACACTTAGCTCTTGGAATGATAAGTCACTCTGCGGCACGTTCCAGAGCTGCTGTGACCAGGGAGGGATATCTTGGGCTGAGAATCCATTGGCAGCCGAGAGCCAGTTGGACATCATTTACTGCATGGCTGACGCAGCGGTAGACCAGATGCCCTAATTTATTTGTTGGTTTTCATATGAAAGCTGTAGTTTGCCAGTAAATAGGCAGGGTAATGATGCCAAGCACCCTTGTTAGGGGCTAATAATTGCTTAATCTGTCCACTAATTGACCCCAGCTCCCGGGGCAGCCCTCCATCAAGGAGCCAGACATTGCTCAGGGCCTGGCCATACTGCCTCAGAGAATGGCTTCTGGAAATGGAGTAGTTCATTGTGAGCCATCCTCCTTCACAGATGACCAGATTAATTGGGCTGCAGATCAAGCAGCTAATAAGAGGAAGAGAGGAAACAAAGCCAGACTGGAGGCTGCAGCCACCCAGAGTGAGCATGGGGCAAGGAAAGCAGAAGTTTTAGATTCATCTCTTGGCTAGAGGTCAGACTCAGTTCAACAGGAATCTTTTGTATTGAGGAGGAAATTGGGAGGAGATCTTTCACTTTTATTTGGTATGGGGAAGGGGTGATAAGTGAAGTGGAAAATGAGGAGAAATGTCAGAGCAAGAGTGGAAAGGAAATGCCATCCCCCAGTATGGGCCAAAAGCATGGAATGGACCAAGGAAGCAGAGAGTGTGCGGACTTGGAGATCTGCATGGACTCCTCATTGGTTGTTAGTTTTCTCTGACCAGTTTCCTCATCCTGATATAGAGGTATTGATCCGGAAGAATTCTGTGGGACTGACTTAGAACTCCTACATTTTGACTGCTGGTCCCAGCACCTGAACATTGTAATGTGCTCTCATAAAAGTCACTTAGATCAAAGGTTGGAAGCAGTGGGGGTAGTAAAAATCAGAATGCAGCCTAGAATTAGGTGTTGTTGTCTATGAAGTTGACTGACCGTGGGATCTGGGAACAAGGATACTGAATTGGAGAAGTCAACAAACCAGCAGTCAGAGAACCTGGGTTCTAGTTTTGGCTCATCTTTAAACTTAGATGAAAGAACACAGTGATTCCCAAGTATGCATCCCACAGTGACAGGTTATGATTCCACCTACTTCATTCCTTTACCTCAAAGTAGCAGAATCCTTATCTGTCAAATGAGGAGACCACACTTCCTCCTTGTGGGAGACACAATCCACCCTGTGAAGATCAGTCTCTGCCCCTTCAGTTGTTGGCTTCAGTTGTTGGTTTGTTGGCTTCTCCAATTCAGTATCCTTGTTCCCAGATCCTATGGTCAGTCAACTTCATAGACCACAACACCTAATTCTAGGCTGCATTCTGATTTTTACTACCCCCATCACTTTCAACCTTTGATCTAAGTGACTTTATGAGAGCACATTCAGTAAACACATTTGCAGATCCTTCATCAGGAAGGCAGAAGAAAGTAGGACTGGGGGCTAGAGAGAGTGGAGGAAGAGAAGGAAAAGTGGCAGAGTTTGGAAATGGAAGCTGGGTGGCCAACCTCACTGCCCTGTGCTGACCTTGCCTGGCCACAATGACCAGCACCAAGTAAGCCACAACTAAAGGTTCAGTGTTGCTGTTTCTCCTGCTGTACAGAGCCAGGCATGCAGCAGGTGCCCAATAAATGCCCATTGGTAGAGTTGCCCCAGGAATTCATTTGACCTGGACAAAGTAGAGTGTTAGTTGAGCTGATAACTACTCATTCTATAAACATTCACAGGATCAGGTCCATGCCAGGAGCAGCTTGGCATTCCAAGATGCGTAATAGGTTCCTGCTCAGAGGGGTGCATGGGGGGAGAGCAGCTCCTACCAACAAAGCCTCTGATGGGAACAGCACAAGGAGTCCTAGGAACCCCAGGGTCTCCTGACCCAGCCTGGGAGTCAAGAAGGGGTTGTGGAAACTTAAAGAATGAGTAGAGTGAACCAGATGAAAGAGGTGCCAGGAGACGGTGTTCCAGGTAGGGGACGTCTTACACAGAGATTAGGAGGCGAGACAGAAGACAACTTGTTTCTTAAGAGAGTTCTTCAGTTCCAGGTGGCATAGCTTCATGACTAAGGGCACAGACATTGAAACCGGACTAAATTGTGTCCTTAACCTCTCTGTTTCTCAGTTTCCTCATCAGTTAAGAAGAAGAATAGTATTATAAGGATCTGAGTTAGTTAATGTGAGCAAAGTGTCCAGCACATAGGAGGTGTGTTGTTTACTCATTGCTCTTATTTGGTTTGGCTGAAGGTGTGGGGTGGGAGGATGTTGAGAGAGAAGCAGGAGAGGTAAATGGGGGCTTGCCGATCCTGCTGATGAATATGAACAGCTCAGGAGAGCCATTGCCAAGGTCAGGGTCAGATCTGGCCTTTAGAGATAGTTTCCCCTGGCTGCAGCCTGGAATGCAGTTTGGAGGGAAGTAATAATAATGGATGGATGTTCCTGAAGATGAACAAGGTGGTGGTAAGGGCACAAACCTAGCAGAGAGCCAGCAAAGATAAAGAGGCTTGCAGTCAGGAACCAGGGTCTGGCACGGTGGTGACCTGCAGGGGCTCTGCAGTGACCAAGACCCAGAGAGTCACAAGGATGCCACTGATGGAGGGTAAGCATTGTGGATAGATGATGACACTGATGAGAAGACTACTTGTCTATCATCCCCAGGAGCAGCAGAAGTCTTGGCTTAAGTCATACAACCTTGGGGAAAGGTGACACCAAGATTACAGAGATTAAGTTTCTGGCCCCTGGCAGAATGGGGCCTCGAAATGGAAATTGAGTGCAGTTTTAGAAATGTAAGGAAAATTGTAGTTTCAGTACTTCAGAGTGTGGGGGACTGAGGCTTGCATCTGCTGTGCAAATCTATCTTCCGTCCAGGCTGTGAGCTCCAGGAAGGCAAGGACACAGCTCCCGTTCTTGGCCAGGATTTTGTCAGCGCCCAGCTCAGCAGTGGGGCAAGGCAAATGCTCAATAGTTACATGTGAAATGAATGAATAAAGATGGACCAGGGAATTTTCTGGCCGTCCAGTGGCTAGGAATCTATGCTTTCACTGCTGATGGCACAAGCTGAATCCCTGATCAGGGAACTAAGATCCCACAAGCCATGTGATGCAGTCACAAAGAGAGAGAGAGATGGTTCAGTGACAGGTACTACTATGTTCAGTAGCTGGATTGAGTCCATTTTTCAGACAAGGAAACCAAGTCAGGGTGGAGACATCATTTGCTGAGTGTCTCCCAGGGGCCTAACTGGGATTCAGGTCCCGTTCTACTGGTTTCAAAATGGTACCCTTTCCATGAAACCAAGATGGGATAAACCAGGAGTCTATTTGCATGGGATTTGCAAATTATTTGGATATATGCCTGCATGATTTTTCTCTAGAGAGTTCTGTGTAAAGTATTGCTGTTCTTCTCTGCTAAGAGGAAGGATACACAGTGGGAAGAGCCCAGGCTTGAAGCAGGACATTTGGGGTCGGGTGGGGGGGGATGTCTCTTCTGGGCTGAGTGTGGGTCATGTGACAGGAGTCCTCTAGGCTCTACCCTGACTGCCCTTAGCTGAGCCCAAGGACCCAAGTTGTGGAATCCCAGGAAGGCTGGCCCCGAAGAGCCTGACGTTCACGGAGTCTAAGTTCTCACCCTCCCTTCTCCAACTCTGCCCATTTCACAGATGAAAAGACAAGCTTGGGAAAGCAAAAGGCCCCATGACAACCCCTTCCTGGATCTAGTTTCATGTATATATGAGGCTGTATGGGAGGGAGGGGGGAGGAGGAGATGAAGAAGAGGTGCGGGGTAGAGGAGGGAGGAACGTAGTGAGAGAGAGGAGGGAGGAAGGGGCCAAGGTCACCACTGCACTGTGGGGGATCTCAGCTTGGGCTTGGTCCTGGTGTCCTGGTGGTTGTGTGTGTGTGAGAGAGAGAGAGAGAGTGTGTGTGTGTGAGAGAGTGTGTGTGTGTGTGTATGTGTGTGAGAGAGTGTGTGTGTGTGTGAGAGAGAGAGTGTGTGTGTGTGTGAGAGAGTGAGTGTGTGTGTGTGAGAGAGAGAGAGTGTGTGCGTGTGTGTGTGAGAGAGAGAGAGAGTGTGTGTGTGTGCGCGTGTGTGTGTGCAGACCAACAAGGACCTGAACACGAACATCTTGACCAGCTGTGAATGGGATGAACAGAGTATCAGCCTTCTCTGCACTGTTCTGGCGACTTTCCTGGAAGTTCTAAACTATTTCAAAACAAACTCTTTTTAAAAACCACAAATCTCTGATTGCTGTGCTGTGGGTGACTTGGTTACATGAACAGCTCAGATCCTCTCCGACAAGCCGTTTCCTCCTCCTGTTTGCTAACTTTTACTAACTGCGGCTGAATGGAGTCTGGTTGAGCTCCATGAGGGCCGAGCGTGTTCCCTGAGCGGTCAGCCAGGGCCCCGGGTGATGCCCCCTGGCACAGTGGGAAGGCCTACCCGCCCACCTGCGCACACCCGCCAGGACCGCTGCGTGGCCCCAGCTCCAGCTCCGGCTCCGGGGCGGGCAGGCTCCAGCCCCGGGGGCCCCTTCCTCCCCGGCCCTCTGCCCTGGGCTTGGTCACTCAGAGACCCCGTTCCGCTGCCAGTCTCTGCATGTGACACCTCCTCTGCCCACACCGCTCCCCTTCCGTCTCTTCCCTCTCGCGTATCACAAACGGTTCTTCTGGCTGAGAGCCACTCCCTCCGCGAGGCCTTCAGCTCGCCCTCCTGGATGCCCCCAGGGCGCCTACTCTGAACGGCCCCTAGAACAGGACAGGTGACCTCTGCCCAACGCAAGTGTGGGTCCCATCTTATACTCAGGTTTTCTCAGGAAGTGCTCATCGCAAGACACGTGCACTGTGGTTGCTGTCTGATTCATCTGTAACCTCAACCACAACACACGCTCCACGCCTTTTCTGTTCACGGTCATCGTTCCAACACGCACCACAGGATCACAAACATGGTGGCACTCGAAAACACTCACTGCATGAATTTTAACTCCGTGGGCATTCGTGATAACCACTTACATGTCGGTGTGTCTAGGGGTAAGTATGTTTCAAGTTGCAAAGAACGGAAGTTGAAACCACTGGTGATATCAATGGAAGTCCAACACAAATTTATATAAATAATTGGCTCAAACCTGCTCCAAGGACAGCCAGATACCATTTATTCTGAATCTATTCTAGTTAGATAAGCTAAACAGTATGACTATGTGCTTCAAACTCTCATCTGGATTCTCCAGAGAGTTAAAATGTTTTACTCTACAATAACTAAAACTAGTTAAAAAAAAAAGCGGTGGGGGTGGAGAGGCCCTCTCCTTTACCAGAATAAAGGGGCTTATGCCAGCTTGACTTAAAACCTCTCAGCTTAAGATTTGTTTAACGGTATATAATTATCACCAGTGTGAGGACCCACACAGGTTTAGGATTTCCAAAGTTCGACAACCCATACGGACACTGGGCTGCAGATCAGTGATCAATCATTGTAACCAATAAGGATGAGAAAACAGATGAGGTGACGTGAGAGACTAAAGGAAAATGTGGTCAATCTATGAACTTCTAAATCAAGCAGCAAAAGCAATGTATCTCTGCACCTGCTAAAGAGAAAGAGGGGAGGGAATTCCCTGGCAGTCGAGTGGTTAAGACTCCAGGCTTTCACTGCTGAGGGCTCAGCGTCAATCCCTGGTCAGGGAACTAAGATCCTGCAAGCCAGAGGCATGGCCAGAATAAGAAAGAGAGAGAGAGAGAGAAGAGGGCCGGGAGGGGTGAGACGGGGAGGAGGACGTGCAGCCCACGCAGAGCACTGCCCCATGGGGACAGAGAGCGCCGGCCTCCACGGGGCTCCGGAGGGAGCCACGGCGCTGGCTCGGGGGCTCCTGCAGGCAGACACTCCTGATGTGCATGGTAAACTTCTGCAAGACCCAGGACCCTCAGTGCGTCAGAGCTCACAGCACGGTGTGCTCTCGACAGACCCCCTCTCTGAGACAACTGTAGCTGAGACACACACATGCTGTGGTACTGTGCAATCCTGAAGAAGCTGCTTTTCCGAGGGGCCGACCGTGGGCCTACTGACTGGCAAACGCCTGTTCTCAGCCCTCCTGATTTCCCACACGTGACCTCTTTACCTCCGTCTGTCTGCTTCTCCTGGCTTCGTGACTCCGTACCCACCTTAGTGACCAGCAGACATGGACAAAACACGCTACTCCCCTCTCCCGTCCCCACCTCTCCCCAAGTAAGATTCTCACAGTGAACTCAGAGCCCATCTGACCTGGCCGCTTCGCTTTTCCCCAGAGGGGATTGTGGCACCTGGAGGCACCTGGCTCCACAGCCAGACGTGAACACAGCTGAAACTCCTCAGGGCTCCAGTCCACACTACCAGTGTCCGTCCCAGCCCACAAACAAGGGTTCCCCTGAGCATAACCAGGCCCATCCCTCCGGCGCTACCCGTGGCTGCCTCTACGCTACACAGGCTGAGCTGAGTGTCAGTGAGGGAGCCCACACCACCTGACTATTTACGACCCTGCCCCTTTCGGAAAAGGCCTGCAGACTCCTGTACTTAGAGACCTCACAGGACAACCCCTGCGGCTGCTGGCTGGCTTGAGAACCAACAGAAGAATGTGGCGTGGCAGGAAGGAGGGAAGTGCCCAGGAGGAGACTGCAACAGCCTCTGGGGCAGAGATCACAGGGGTTCACACGCGAGTGGAAGCGGTGGGGACGGAGAGAAATGGAGGGACCAGGAGGAGAAGACAGTGCGCTGACGGAGCGGATGCAGGCTGAGAGAGAAAAGCGAGGAACCAAGGTGACCACTGAGTTTCTGGCCAGGCCACCAGGAGGATGCAGCTGCTACTCTGAACGAAGACCAGCTCTCTGAAGGGGAATCGGACCCACAGCTGGACGGCGTTATTTACACTCATCGTCCTCCTGCACAAAAGCCTCCTGTGACTCACTGTCCTTTCAGAAGAGCCAACATCCTTACGACAGTCTCCAAGGGTGCCCACGGTCAGCCTCTCTCCTAACTTCATCAGATTCCACAGGTCATTGTGCCCCCCACCAAATCCATGCGCTGACATATAATTAGCAACAGGACAGGCACCTGCAGGGTGGCTCTCTGCTGGGTGAACAGGTCATAACGGCACAGCCTTCAGGCTGCAATCTGCGCTCTTAGGAAGGCGACCCCAGAGCACTGCCAAGTGAGGGCATAGCAGGAAGGAATCAGGAGCCAGGAATGCCGCTCTCATCGGAGAGCAGATCCGCCAGTCCCTGGATCCTGGACTTCCCGGCCACTGTGACTGCGAGCAGTGAATCCCTGTCACTTGTAAGTCACCCAGCCAGGGCGGCCCCAAACTGACCAAGACCCCCGCACGCACTCCACCCCAGCTACCGTGCCTCCACGGCTTCCCAAGCACATGGGCGACTCTGGCCACCACAGCGGACCTCTCTGCCATCTGGGGTGCTCCTCTCCAAAGACGTCTACGAGCTTATCCTCACCCTCTCTGCCCAAAGACAACCTCCCTGAGGCCTCCAGGACTCCCTACTTAAACTCTACAAGACACTGGCCCTTTCCTCAGCCTTTTATTCCCCTCCCTCCTCTGTCTGTTCAATTTATTTCCAACACATTTATTACCTTTTCACCTAACTTGTTGACTGTCTCCTCCTCCAACCTCGTAACATAGAGGCTTTAAGAGATGAAGAATACTTGCCTTTTCACCCACTGCTGTAACTGCACTTCCTAAAACACAGCAGGGGATCAAAAAATATTTTCTGAGTGAATAAAGAGCCCAAAGAATACAACTTACAAAAGATTCAAGAGAACTTCAATCATGGACCTGGGTTTTGAGGGAAAAGCAAAAGCACATTACGAATACCTCCATGAGACAACTCAGCTCAGACAATGACTTTTCCATTAGTTCCCCCTCTACTTCAGAGTACCAGAGTAGGACTTTCTTCTCTCCCTCCCTGCTCCCAGCCCTTAAAATGTCTGGGATCAGCTCATAGATGATGCTGATAAAAAGACAAAACCCCAAACCCTCAGCTTCTCTGCCGGCCTCGGGGCCTACTCTCCTTTGTGGCTTCACAGAGCTCTGCCTCTGCACTGAAGCTTCTCCAGCTCCTCAGACACCTCGCTCCTTTTCACCCCAAAATCCAATCACCTGTCAAACCCTCTACCTAGGAAGCACCTCCCACACCTGTTCCAGTCTTGCTTCTCATTATTCACACGCCCGAATATCACCAGCTCAAGGACAACCTGCCCTCCAGGCAGCCCCAGTAGGGACAAAACCACCACTCCAACTCCTCCTTTACTTTCCTAACACATCAAACCTTCTATACGTGCACACGTATACCCCATCTACAAGATGCTCTGTTCACTACTCTATTCACCACTAGCTCCCCAGTGCCTAGAACACTTGGTAGAATAGGACTAATTTAATTACACATCAGTGATGTGCCGGACGAGGACGAGCTCCCCTGGTGGCTCAGATGGTAAAGAATCCGTCTGCCAAATTCGATCCCTGGGCTAGGAAGATTCCCTGGAGAAGGAAATGGCAACCCCCTCCAGTATATTCCTGCCTGGAAAAAAAATCCCGCGGACAGACCAAGGAGCCTGGAGGACTATACATACAGCCCATGAATCGCAAAGAGCTGGAGGCGACAGGGCCACTGGGCACACAGGTGCACGCGGTGGACAGCCCCACCTTACCACTGAAAAATACTGACGACAGCGGCAAAAAGAGAGACTCCTGACATCAGAGGGCCGCGAGAAGTCCAGCTGGAGAGGAACACTCCGCAGGACATGAGGCAGACGCTGGCAGCGGCTCCTCTTCTGCCCGGGGCGCGCACACTTCACGCCACACTTCAGAGACCTGCAGTGCCCGCGTGCCTTCGGGGAAGAATGACCCTCCTGGCCAACCCGCAGGCCACATGAGCACCCGCCCCCACAAGCAAGAAATACGGAAGGACTGGCCTGCACAGTTTTAAAAAAAAAAAAAAAAAAAAACCACCTTTTCCTGGGAGAGATTAGCTTCCCTTGGCATTCTGGCCACCATTCATCTCTCTCGGAGTCAGCCTTGGGGGAAACCTCNACCCCCGCCCCGCGCCCCACACGGCCCGGCCCAGCCCCTCCGCGCCCTCGGCCTGAGGGACAGACACCGCACCTGCTGCAGGGACGCGCAGCCCTGACAGCGCGAGAAGTCCGCCGCCGTCCCCGGCGCCGCCGAGTGGGTCTCGCCCGGCATCATGGTGCCGCCGCCGGGCCCTTGGGGCCCGCGCGCCTCAGGGGCCGGCGGCCTCGGCCCCGTCCTGCCTCTGCTGACGCCGCCGGGGCCGCCCGGCCCTACCGGGCCGCTTCCCGCCGGGTCCGGGCGGGTCCATCCGTGCACCGAGGTCCCCGTGGAGCCTGGCGAACGGCTCTCAGAGACAGAGCCACCTCAGGCGCTGGAGAGAGGAACGGTACACCCGGCGCGGCCCCCCGAGCGTGCGACACCGCCCAGCCAGGACCCCGCCCCGCCCCAGCTCGCCCCGCCCCCTCGCCGCGGCGGTGGGCTGCCCGCCGCGCCGCCTGAGGGAAAATGGCGAGCGGAGCCGCGCTGCGGCGGCGGAGGGACACGGCCCGAGGAAGCGGCGCAGGGCGGGGAGGCGTCGGACGGTCTCCTTCTTCCGCTGTGTAGGGTTTAGTCTTCCTTTGCCGGCTTGCTGTGTAGCCGGCTTTCCATAGACACCTAAAACCGTCGCCGAGGGGGAGGTGACCTGAGGTGACGTCACTGCAGGCGCCTCCCGGCCCTGAAGGACCCCGCACCCTGACGGACCAGTGCACGAGTTTTAACTGGAGCGGCGCGCTCCGTCAGAGTGTACCCGGGCCCAGGCGCAGACCGGGGACTACGTCTCCCGGCGGCCCCCGCGCTCCGGGCGGACCCCAAGCAGTTCTTCCGGCCGTCGCGGGCGTGCCTGAGGGGGCGGTTCGCCTCGTTCGATGTCGTCGTCGCCGCAGACCAGTCCTTCATCCCGGACGTCTCTCTTCTCCTCAGCTCACCCGCCTTCCGTGTCCACTTGCCGTCTGACCCCGCGCTCCTCGGCCTCTTTTTTCCCCCGGAAGCCCTGCCAAGCACAGCGCCTGGCCTAATCCTGGGCGACCCCGCCTCCCGTCAGTGGCCGGCTACTACCAGATCTTTTTAAAATCTCTTGAGAGAGGAGCCCCTGTGGTTCTGATGACTTTCCATGTCTGCCTTCCAACCTCGGCCAAACGGGTCTTAACAGTAACTGTTTACCTAAGGTTCCCCAAAAGAGTGGTTGTATTTTGGTTTTTTTTTTTCCCCCCCAGGGTTCGTTAGTCGGGGAGGCACCAGCTTGTGCTCCAGCGTTGGCTCCCTCTGCACTGTCCACCCGCCCGCACGACATCCCTACCCTTGCTGGAACTGGGAACTCACTGCCGCCATCCTGTCCCCTTCACCTGCCTGGACGCCCTTCCTCCCAGCTTGGCATTCTGTAATCCTGCTGTCCTTCCAGGCCGCCCGTTTTACCTCCACGACCACAATATATGTGCCCTGTTTTGTCCCCTTGTTTACTTTGTCATATCCTAACTCCTTTGTGACCCCAGGGACTGTAGCCCACCAGGCTCCTCTGTCCATGGGCTGTCCCAGGCAAGAGTACTGGAGTGGGTTGTTGTGTCCTTCTCCAGGGGATCTTCCTGACCCAGGGATTGAAACTGTGTCTCCTGCTTTGGCAAGCAGGTTCTCCATCGCTGAGCCATCAGGGAAGCCCCTTTTTGTCCCTTAGCACTTTTTTTTAAATTAATGCCACATTTTGTCTTGGATAATGGTGTTCTTTATGTCTTAGAGGTGAGTTTTCCTTTTAAATGCTGCAAAGTGCTGTACACAGTAGGCACTTCATGAATGTCAGAGTGAGTCAGATTTGCTGCATCTAATTGAAAGTGAAAAATAATGAGTGCTTCGGTTCAGAAGTGAAAGTGTATTTGTTCCATCTTCTGCCTTTCTCATAAGATAGTCAAAGTGGGGGGGGGGAGGGACAAAACCAAACAAAAAAATACAGCAAGAAAACAAAAAACAGCAGCAGTCTGTTTTGTATAATGTAGTGTGGGCAAACTCCATAAATGACCACACAGTAAATATTTTAGGATTTTGGAAACATACAGGTCTTTACTGCGTATGTTATTTTTTTTGTTTTTGAGGAACCGTCTGCAGATGGTTACCTGGCAGGCTGTGCAAAAACAAGTGTAGTTATAGTTCATAATGGAAATAGGTGTTGGCCACTGGTTAGAGAATGCTGGAAATGACATTTTTCCTCTCCCATAAGAATGACCACACCTACTGTGTTATACTTTAGCCACCTGATGTGAAGAGTCCACTCATTGGAAAAGACCCTGATGCTGGGAAAGATTGAAGGCGGGAGGAGAAGGGGGCAGCAGAGTGTGAGATGGTAGGATGGCGTCGCCAACTCAATAGACGAGTTTGAGCAAACTCGGGGAGATAGTGAAGGACAGGGAAGCCTGGCGTGCTGCAGTCCGGGGGTCTCAGAGAGTCAGACACGACTTAGGACTGAGCGACAGCAGCATGTGATGGACACAGACAAGCATGTGTCTACATTGCAGAAGACGGGGAGCAATGGCTTTGAAGCCCGGCTTTAAACTCTCAAGCAAGTGATCTGTTTGAGCTGCTATTTCCTTGCAGAGGAGTGGCTGTAATTTAAGGGTAAAATGAAAAGGACAGGGCCAAGCCCATAGGCTCTACCATACAGTGAAGACGTATTCACAGTTTATTGATGGTGTTACCTAGTTTGGAAAATAGGTAATATCTCCATCCAACCCACATTAAAAAATAATTAAAAAAAGAGGTTTGATTTGGGGGTTTTTTTGTTTGGGGTTTTTTTTTAGGGATTTTAAAATTTTGATCAAGCTTCCAAGGAAAATTGTTTTTCTGTCAGACTGTCCTATGACCTGAAGCGATGTCTAGATTCTGGTTCTGATTTTGGGGACCCTTCTGCCTGGAGTCCAGGCAGCTGTTTAGAGAATCCAGCTATAATCTCAATTCTTGCCCCACACCCTCATCATCACCCCCCATATCCTTGGTAACTTCTCAAAGTTAATGCCTTGAAGAATAACATAATTTAAAGGTTAATTAAGTTGATTATTTAATTTATTAACATGATTCCACTGAAATGGCTAACCGGTTTTGTCTAGAAGTCAAGGCTTATATCAAGAACTCAAGTTCTTATATACAAGAACTCAAAATGGAAAGCTGTTTGTTCTTTGAATATTCTGATATTTTGATTATGGAGAGCTATTCTTTTCACCTGCTGCATTTACCCATAAGCAAAATAAACTGTTTCTTCCATCTTTTAAAATCCTGAGAGGTGTGTTACAGAATAATGTGCAACTCTAGCAGTCTACAGTTCAGTGGTGGTATCTAATTAAGTTGTGTTAGTTTCTGCATCTGTGATGTAATGCTGACATAAGCCCACAAGATGTCTGTCTTTCCCTGTATGTGTTTTAGATCCACAAGGAATTTCCAGTCATGTTTATGACTTACTCGCAATACTCTGGCCACCTGATGCAAGGAGCCAACTCATCAGAAAAGACCCTGATGCTGGGAAAGATTGAAAGCAGGGAGGAGAAGGGGACGACAGAGGATGAGATGGTTGGACGGCATCAGCAACTCAATGGACATGAGTTGAGCAAACTCCGGGAGACAGTGAAGGAAGGGTAGCAGTTCTGCAGCCCATGGGGTTGTAGAGAGTCAAACATGACTGAATGATTGAACAACAACAACAATCCCTTCTGGAACAATCCCTTCGGGGTGGGGATGGATGTTTGAGTTTTCCCTGGGGGTCAGTGGTGGGCTCTATGCCTTTGCTTCTCTTTTTAAATTATTTATGTATTTGGCAGCATTGGGTCTTAATTGCAGCACTGGAGATCTTCGTCGCATCAAGCAGGATCTTTTGTGGCAGGTCAGAGATTCTTTAGTTTTGGTGTGCAGATTTAGTTTGCTTTGAGCACGTGGGTCATAGTTTCCAGACCAGGGAACAAACCTGTGTCCCCTGCATTGTAAGGCAGATTCTTAACCTTTGGACTACCAGAGAAGTCCCAAAGCCCCAGCTCATTAATCAAGGGGTATTACCTGGAAGATTGAGTTTACTCAGAAACCTGAAGAACCAGTTTTTGGAAGACACCCTGAGGCTGGGAAAGATTGAAGGCGGGAGGAGAAGGGGACAGAGGACGAGATGGGATGGACAAGAATTTGAGCAAGCTCTGGGAGTTGGTGAAGGACTGGGAGGCCTGGCGTGGTGCAGTCCATGAGGTCACAGAGTCGGACACGACTGAGCGACTGAACATCAACCTGGAAGACTGAGTTTACACAGAAACCTGAAGAACCGGCCTTTGCTTTAAAACAAGCGTGATTTGGAATAGAAGGCAAAACTGATACAGCTGATACAGATGAAGCACAATTTAAAGGACTTCCCTGGTTGCTAAAGCCCTCTCCAGGGGAGGGTGAGGTATTCTGTGAACATCTGGCAGCTGTAACTCCTGGTCAGCTCAGACTCTTCCTGTGGTCTCCAGGATTTGCTTCCTGAAAGTTCCTACCCTGCAGACCCAGTAACTTCTGGCCCCTTCCAGCCCCAGGATCATCTACACAGTTTGGGGGGCCAGATAGAAGATGAAAATGCCAGACCCCTTGTTGAGAACTTCCGATGAATTATAAGATGCAGCAGCAAAACCTCCAACGGGGTGGGCCTCTTGTGCTCCAGGCTCAGTCTGACAATGGGCTGCACGCTGAGAAAGTGGCCCCGCCCCCTCCCTGTCCGGAACCAGACCTGCCCCCAGCTCCGCTCCCTCCCCTGTGGTCCGCCTTCTCCCAAGCCTGGAGCGCAGAACTGTGTCCTCCCGCTCCCAGACCCAGCGCAGCAGGTGGTCCTCCCTCCTGTGCTAAGAGACACCAGAGTCCAGCCGCTCCAGAGACACTGTGGGTGGACCTCTTGCTTCACCAAACACTCTCATCCTAGGCCTGGGGTCTCTCCTCCCTGTCTGTCCATCCGTCTGTCTGGGCCCTAGGTGATCCTGGTTGCACATGGTCTCAGCCGCCCATGTTGTGGGTCACTCCTGTCTCCTGTGGCTGTAATCGTAAGACTCCGCGGAGCCCTAGAATAACTGCACAGTGGCCCCAGGAAAATTCTGAAGGACGGCTCAAAATGTGGTTCTAACAAACAAAAAAAACAAACTTACGACACA